ATTCCATTCCAGGATCCATACTTAGAAGAATTGCATGTAAGGGCTTAAAGCTGGTGGTGTTGTTGGTTTTTTTGTTTTGTTTTGTTTTTTTGGCAGCCAATATTATTTTATGTTAGTTTCAGGCATATATACAGTGGTTAGATATTTATATAAATTACAAAATAATGGCACCCCAATAAGTCTAGTACTCAAACAGGTATTAGTACACTCATATTCACAGCAGCTTCATTCACAACTACTAAAAGGTGGAAGCAACCTAAGTCTCCATTGATGAATGAATGGATTAAAAAAATGTGGTGTATAGTACAAATGAAACATTAGTTGTCCTCAAAAAGCAATGGAATTTTGATGTATGCTGCAACATGAATTAACTTTGAAGACATTATGTCAAGATGTCAAGTAAAATAACACAGTCCCCCAAAAAACAAATTATCTATAATTCTACTTATATGAGGTACCTAGAGTAGTCAAATTCAACAACAGAAAGTAGAATGATGGTTGCAAGGAGCTGGGCATGGGTTGGGGTGGGGGTAGAGAGTTGGGAGTTAGAGTTTGATGGGTGTAGAGTTTCTGTATGGGAAGTCGAAAGGGTTCTAAAGAGGGTGGTGATGCTTGCACAACAGTATGAATGTGCTAAATGCCTCTGGACTGTACACTTACAAATGGCTAAAAGGGTACATTTCATGCTCTGCATATTTTACCTCAATTTAAAGCATTATCAGAATTATCTACAAAAAAAAACAACAAAAAACACAGGAAGCCTCTACAGAGGGCAATTTGACCAAAAGAGGAATAATGATCCTAGTAAATTCATATATGTAAATAAGTCATCTTAATATTTATAATTTTCTAATGCTAAAAGAATTTCTCACTTACCAGTCATTTTTGGATACTGATAGGGCATCAATTAATTAATTATAGTATTCTTAAAATGGATATATATATTAATATATATATATATATATATATATATATATAAAAGAATTATGAAAAAAAATGGTTGGTACAGGGAGAAATTACATTTGCAGCCAGTTTGAAAGATTTGTCTTTTCAGCCTTTTGTTTTGGTCTCTATTTTTGCTAAAGCTTAGTTATTACTTTATGTGTGGACCCTTTGCCAATCTGACAGATTAGCTTAGATATGGACATTAAAAAAAAAGATAGAATCACTCAAGCATATTTCTTGTGGGGTATGAATCACAACCAGGAGTGCAAAAATGATCTTTTTCCTAAATCTGCAGCTCTAGTTGTTGAGACAATATATTATTTTCTGGTCAGCACTAGATTAAATCAGATCTTTTGAAAATGGAAGTTAGAACACTAAAGTCAGAAATGTCTTTAGTTGGAATTTGAGAAATGTACAATGTGATATTTTGGAAATATACATAAAAATATCAATTTCCTTCTAGGCTTTGTCCACAATTGCTATAGAACTTTATAAAAAATTGTTGACTCGTCTCTTCTCCATGAATAAAAGTACCTCAAATATTAACACTAGCAACTATTTACATTTTGTTTAATGTTCATTTTGTTAATGTTGTAATTTATTTAAATGATTAAAATTCCTTCAAACATTAAGCATAAATGATTAATAGTCTAAGTATTTACATGCTACTTAGGTTAATAAATCAAAACTTATACATTCAACAAATCAAATGACTCCAATGCTTAAACATCAGTTGCAAACTTACTTAATCAAACTCTTTTAACCATGGAATACAATCACAAATCTCATTCATCTAATGCTGCAAACACCCGAAAAAGCAGAAGAGATACCCAGAACACAGCAATGATTTCAGGACTGAGTACAAATGAGGCAAAGCTGTAGATAGATTGATTTATTATATTTTTCTAGGATTGTCTTTCTAGAGTTGCAGAGTTTTACAAGACCCGACAGGAAAAGAATACCTCCTCCAGCCAGCCTAGGTTGTAGATCCTGTGGTTGTCAAGAAAGCGATTCTCTATCAGAACTCTGCGTCTATTGTGCCATCCAAAGTTTTAAATCTGAGCCTCTACGAAAAGGCTGAGCCTCTACAAAAATAATTAAGTTTTTCTTCTACATCAATGAGACTTTCCTGCCCATGTCTTTCAGGGGGCTTTTAGTTCTTGAAGCTTCATGTATTTCCAAGAAAGTATATGTATTACTTTCACTTGGCCTGCTTTATCAAGCTTATCTTGCCATTGTGACCTGATTTCTTAGTATTACTGGAAGTTTGGGGGTTGTATACATTCTATTTCATACAGTCATTCAGAGTTTTCTTCTAACATGAATAAGGGACAATTCCATCTTTGGGATCATCTCGTGACAATTATGTATGAGCACTAGTATTGATGACTTGCCAACTCCTGCTTTCCTCTAGGAATCTCATAGTTCCCTGAGGTTCTGTTGACTTTTTAAACTATGTTTTTCTCTTTTTTCATATTGAGTAATTTCTATTTTTAACTTTTATGTTTATTCTGATAACCTTAACCTGCTCTTATGATTACCCAGAGAAATTTCAATTTCAAGTATGACCCTTTTCAGTCATAGAATTTCCATTTCTTTTCTTTGTATGGTTTCTATAGCTCTGCCTAAATTTTCTCTCTTGCATTAATGATGAATTTCTTTTATTTTATTTTTGATGTCCTAGAGCACAATCATCACAATTGCTTTAAAATCTTTACAAATTCTAACCTCTGGGTCATCTCAGAGTTAGTATTTGCTGGTGGTCTTTTCTGTATGCCACATATTTTAAAGTTTAAATGTCTTTCTGCCTTTTTTATGTCAAATAATTTTCGAATGTGTCCTGGATATTGTAAGGTATTATTCAGATTGTGCATTCTGCTATGTGACTACAAAAAGCATTGACACTTTGTTTTGGCTGGCCATTAACTTGTTGAACCTCAACTACAAAGTCTTTCTTCACTCCACCCTGGATTGGCTGTGCAAGTGTGATTCAGAGGTTGGGAACGAGTCTGGGCCATGTTTATAACACAGAACTTGATTCTCGGGCTCTCTTTTTTGAGCTGTTTCTCCTCATTTTTCAGTTGCTAGTTCTGCCCAATCTCAGTTCTCAAATTCTTCTTAAATTCTTTATTATTTCATTCAAAAGTGAAATAATGAAATAATACATAACTAAAATGAAGTAATACATAACTAAACCAAACAACAGCCCTAACCGGTTTGGCTCAGTGGATAAAGCGTTAGCCTGGGGACTGAAGGGTCCCACGTTCAATTCTGGTCAAGGGCATGTACTTGGTTGTGGGCACATCCCCAGTAGAAGATGTGCAGGAGGCAGCTGATTGATGTTTCTCTCTCATTGTTGTTTCTAACTCTCTATCCCTCCCCCTTCCTCTCTGTTAAAAAAAATCAATAAAACATATTAAAACAAATAAACAAAACCCCAAACAACAAACTTTTTAAATCCCAGGTTTAGCCCCATGATACAAACTGGGACCTCCCCTCAGTTCAGAAACCATAAAAATGAGAAACACTCAGAGTCTTCCCTTCCCCCTTGTTTCCATCCCCTCCCAGTGTCTGTCTTCCTGCTTTTGTTTGTTCTTCAAGTTGCTGTTTTTACAGTCCATCCAGTGTTTATAGTTGTTATTTGTGGGAAGATTGGTTCAGTAAGAACTACCCAGCCATTGCCAGAATATCTTTGTAAGGTCAAGAGTTCAGCCAAATTTTTTCAATTAACCATAATATATGTTGCTCTCCCTACTCATTTTCAATATAACATCCCATTGGCCATTAAAACGTTTTACTGCGTTATTAAAAACGATTTCAAGGGAAAGATTTCCTCTAAAAAGAAAGAATTAAAAAGGCTGGCTACCTAGCTAGTGCGTCTCAGTGGTTGAATGACGACCTATGAATGGAAGGTCATGGTTCAATTCATAATCAGAGCACGTGCCCAGGTGGAATGTGCAGGAGGCAGCCAATCAATGACTCTCATAATTGATGTTTCTCTCTCTCTTCCCTTCTCCCTTCCTCTAAAATCAATAAAAGCATTTAAAAAAAATCATTTTTGATAAATATCTCTTAAAAAGTAAAAGTTGGCTAAGTCTTGTATGAATGTAATCCTGAATTATTTTGTAGGAGGTTCTAGTGGAGGGATTTGTGTAAATTCTGACTCCACCTGATAACAACTGCATAACTGGGGGCAAGACTTATTTATTTTATATTGAGGTTACAATGAAAATATATCTTTATATTAGTTTCAGGTGTTCAATGATATATATGTTGCAAACTGATCACCATAAGTCTAGTTAACATCTATCACCACACATAGTTATAAATTTTTTCCTTGTAATGAGAACTTTTAAGATCTCTCTTAGCTACTTTATTTTGCAATGCAGTATTATTAACTATATTCACCATGCTGTCTGTACTTTATATCCTCATGACTTATTTATTTATTACTGGAAGTCTGTATGTTTTTTGGGCAAGACATTTAACTTCTCAAAATTTTAGTTATTATTTTAATAAAAAAAAACAACAGAGGTTCACTGTCCTCTCTACATCCATGAAGCTGATATTAGAATCCAATTATATGCAACATTTATAAAAGTATTTTAAAATAAAAGCATTATAACAGTTTCCTTTACTTGGAAACTCACCAAATAGTCTGAGTTTTATGGAAAAGTAATGGCTTACCTCAAACCCTTGACTTTCCAGGCTTCATATGTTGCAAGTTGAGGACCAGGAGAGGGCAGTTCCACCAGGGCCTCTGGTGGCCAGCCTCAGGGTGATGGCGATGTGGGGTGCGGCTACAGAGTTTGGACAGGTTCAAGCCTGGGACTGAGGAGAGGGCACATCCTCTTGTGGCTGCGTCAAGATCCGGTTTGGAGGGCAGAGCCCTCCCAGCACAGTTATAGCAAACAGCTGTTGTTGTAAACTTGAACCTGTGATCTGAACACGTGACCCCACGGGCCCAAGTGATATAGGCTGCAAGAAAAGCTGCATCAGGTGCATGTAATTGAGTGGGATTGAAACCCAGGAGAAACTTCTTGACCACGCCCTTACTTTGCCTCGTGGCATCTGCTACAAAATAAAGACACGGCTTGTGGTCCGTGGCTCTGTCTCTCCAGGAGGAGGCAGCGTCCCATCGAGACCCAGCTTTCATCCTCTTGTCTGTCTTTTCTGAGCCTTTCACCGCCCCCACTCAGGGTTACTGAACCTGGCAGAGCTGGTGCGGCACATGAGGCACCTTGGGGCTGAGGTGCCATGGCCGTACGAGCCCACCACATGGCGGTACCATAAGATGGTGTTCTAGAGTGGGATCTCCATTTTACATACTATGCTTTCGTTTTACTACTCTTCCAGACTGATCAGACTCACTAACCTAACCGAACTCATAAGAGTCTAGCATGTGCCGAAACCGGTTTGGCTCAATGGATAGAGCATTGGCCTGCGGACTGAAAGGTCCCCGGTTCAATTCCGGTCAAGGGCATGTACATTGGTTGCGGGCACATCTCAGTGGGGGGTGTGCAAGAGGCAGCTGGTCGGTGTTTCTCTCTCATCGACGTTTCTAACTCTCTATCCCTCTCAATTCCTCTGTGTAAAATCAATAAAAATATATTTAAAAAAAATTAAAAAAAGAGTCTAGCATGTACACCAGTAAGCTAATTTACCAGTTTGCCACAGAGACCAGAATATTTGTGTCTGGTGGACAGGACACTCTGAGTCATGGTGTCTGTGTCTCTGCAAGCTATTGTAACTTCATAATCCACAAGATCTTTCTTGATATGGAAACAGGGCAAAGAGAGATGAATAATGATTACAATAACAGAAAAAAGACCTGCCATTGCTGAGTGATTTCTGTTTTTGCTAATTTTCACAATGGCCTTGCAAAGAAGATATTAGCATTTCTGTTTGACAGCTGAAGAAACTGAAAACACAGAGAATTTAAGTATCTTTTTGAGGATTATAAATCCCAGAAACACCGGAGCCACTTTTTCAGGCTGGAGTGAGATCAGATGAACATGTTTTGGCAGAGCTCTCTAGTGACAGGGAGACTTCTGTCCACAGATGCAATGTCTGCACGTTTGGTGGTGCTGGATAAAAAGCCTGCAAATTCTCTTTCTCAAATGCCTTATTATCTAGGCTCCATGCTAAGTGACCCCTTCTGTATCCCGGGGCTTCCATAATTATGCCCAGCACACTTAACTTGTTAGTTACATATATATTCTAATCCAGCCTCCTCCATATTCCGCCAAACACCTTGCTTGGTTGAATTTGTGAATGCCCCCAAGGCTTTTGGGGAAAACAATCACAGACATTTGCTGGGGTGAGACAGAGACCCTGCTAAGGGCTAATAACATTGCTTCATCCAAGTTGATAATCTTTACATGTTGTCCAACATTTATTTTTTAAAAATACATTTTTATGGATTTCAGAGAGGAGGAGAGAGAAAGAGAGAAAGAGAGATAGAGACATCAATGATGAGAGAGAATCATTGATTGGCTGCCTCCTGCACACCCCCTACTGAGGATCCAATCCACAACCTGGGCATGTCCCCCAACTGGGAATCATACCATGACCTCCTGGTTCATAGATTGATGCTCAACCACTGAGCCACTCTGGCCAGGCTGTTGTTCAACATTTATTAAATGAATGCAAGACAAACTGATTTTTATTACTTAAAATTATACCTTTCTATATATTCCAAATAAAATAAATGTTTCTGATATAAATTGACATTTTAGCTTATTTGGAGTTTCCTTTTATTTCACCCTCTGAGGTGGCTGTTATATTTGCTCCAGCTCCTTGGATGTGAAAATGTAGATGTCAAGAGATTTACTAACCAATGTTGCTCCAATGAATTCAATAAAAAGAAAAAAGAAAAAAAGAAATTATTGAAAATAAAGAAAGAGAGTTCCACCGGTGTGGCCAGTGGTTGAGTGCTGTCTGCGAACCAGGAGGTCATGGCTCTGTTCCAGGGTGCAGGCTCGATCCCCAGTGTGGGGTATGCAGGAGGCAGTCGATCAATGATTCTCTCTCACCATTGATGTTTCCATCTCTCTCTCCCTCTCCCTTCCTCTCTGAAATCAATAAAATATATTTTAAATAAAAAATAAATAAAAAGAGAGAAATTAGTAACTTGCCCAAGGTTGTATAATTAGTCGATTAGGTGGAATTTGAACTCAGCCTGTCCAAGTTCAAAGCTAGAGCCTAGCTGCCATGCAAAGATGTGATGGTTTCCTGGTGGGCTGCTTACCTGGCTCTGAGGAAGCAAAGGATTTGATTTAGTAAATAAATTCATTTATACCATTTTATTTCCTCTTCCCCTCCCTTTCCCCAAACCATGGAATACATTTCAATATCTTTTGCAATTTGAAGCACCATGCTTCCAATTTGGCTATGTGGACTTGGGATAGCAGAGAGGGAGTCTTATGAAGATTGTCCAGTGAGCATCCCTCACCCAGATCCCTAGGTTTATGAGTTTATAGAGAAAATATAAACACTGGTACATATTACAGGGAGCCTCAATATCCCCAGAATTTTAGGTGGAAGGGGAGGGAGGCAGGAAACACCAACAAGGTTGTCCCAGGAGCCATGTTGTACCAACTAGCATGTCATCCAGTCCTGGCTGCCTCTCTGTCAGTGGCCAGTAAACCAAGAGGGGGGTCTAAATAAAGCAAGCTTCCCAATGGGGATGGTCACGTGTTTATTCTGGCTGTTGTTTTCTGTTTTTCCAGATTTAGGGGATTTACTCAGGCAATCTGTGCTCCGTTCTTTATTGCCGGTGGCTGTGTTTTGGCAGAGATGTTCACACAGCTGAAAGGCTCTGTGGGAAGAAAAACTGGTGTCTCAGCAGGGGTTCCAAGCAGTTTTATAACTCAGGGAGCAAAGTGCCCTGGACTTTGCACACACCTTCTTTATTTGGTCTGATAATGCTTCCTCGTTAATATATTTAGACACTAAAAGTAGTTAAAACAACTGATGAATACTTCCAGCCACCCAAATTCATCAGGGTCTGTTATAATTGACTAGTGCTCTGGTGCACGGATTCATGAACATTGAAAGGAAATTAATTAGAACGTGGCCTGCAGGGCGGGACTGGGTGAGATGGGCCAGACATGCCCTGGAGCCAACCTCCCACAGTCCCTCCCTGGCCAGCCACACCAGGGACAGCACTGGGGCTTGAAGAGTTCTGAGGACTGAGCAGGGGGTCCCTTTGGCAGGTGGGATCCCTTGGCCTGGCCTGCAGGGATCGGGCCAAAACCAGCTCTCTGACATCCCCAGAGGGGTCCTGGATTATGAGAGGGTGGTTCTCAGGTGACTCCCTCCTCTCTGGTTCCAGGGAGAACCACCACTGCCAAGTCACCACAGCTCAATAGCTTCTGCATTGAGTGTCTGCCTTCTGGTGGTCATTGCATGTCATAGTCACCAGTTGGATGGTTGGACACTCGCTTAGCTTGTAAATTTGTTTATTCATACCAACTCTGTTGGAGTGTCCTCCCTGCTTGTACACAGGATAATTCTTCTAAGTTATGTTTAAACTCTTGACAAGAAAACTTTTTTTTCCTAGATGGAATCTTCCCTGGAAGAACAGCCAAAAAAAAAAAACCAGATAAAATAAGAACTATTGTGACCAGAGCAGTGGAGGAGTCCTGGACCCCAATGTTCTGGCCCTCTTCGTTCATCTGATTCGACTTATGAACACACTGGTCTGTCCCATATTTAAACAGAACAATTCTTTCCTCATCTAAATTACTGTCCCATGTGAGGCGAAATTCCGTCTAAATACAGCTGTTATTCCTTGACAAATTGCCAGTTGTGTATCTCAGGCTAATAGGTGGGCTTGGAGAGCGTGTATTCCCCTGTTAATTGTCATGGAGAAGTCGGTGAGGGACTAGATTGTTCACAGTCTTTGTTGCCTTTGATTTTGGCTAGGCACTCCTCAGAATTGTCACATAAACTGAGTCTCTATCCCAGTTCTCAGGTGACACAAAACTTGTAAATTAATACTATGGTGAGGTTCAAAAGCAGCAGGAAAGACAGTCTGCTGAGAGATTAGACAAGTATAAGAATTTTCAAAGAGGAATATATTTTGCTTTCCTTTCATACCTCTCTTAAAAAATGGGCATTTGTGACTTAACTGCTTTTAGGTGAATTAGGATCACCCCCTATGGCTCTGTTTGCTAAAGAAGTCGAAGTAGTCACCAGAGTGCTTGTGCTTTCTGAATACTGTCAGAATCAATGGTTTAAAGCTAACTACTTTAACCTATTTTAGAGCAACATTTAATTGGTTGGTAGTCAGTAGTTATGTGTAGTTGTATTAATTCATTTATACACTCAGGGCACATTTTCCAACGACATGTGACCTGGAAGTTTTACCAGAACACTACCTAAAATGAATTGTTTCATGGGTACACCATTGAGATTTTAATGATTCAAGGCAAAGGTGGGGCATTTATAAGTCCTTTTATTTTTTTCCCCAGGCCAAAATGCTATCAATGATGTCTTCCAGTGTGGACTTTTGGGACCCAGCTTTGAAGCACACCCAGAGAACTCTGCTTTGAAGGAATGTTGACTTTAACTTAGGAATATTCCTCCTTATTCATCTTCTAGTCTGACATCTTCTGTTCTTGACTTTTATGAGATGATTCAAGTCTATTAAAAACTTGCAGCAAGACGATGTGCTCTGGTTCTTGTCAGCAAATATAACCCTGCATATAACCTGCTTGTCTGTAGAGCTGGGTTTTACTGAAAGAAGTACAGTTCACCCACCCTTCCTAGATGTGTGCTTCACAATGTATGGCCCACGGGCCACCACCATGGAATCACCGAGGAGCTCCCTACAAATGCTAAGTCCCTGGCCCTCCTGTACAGCTCTGAAATCTGAATCTCTGGAATGGGGCGAAGCAGCCTGCGATTGAATGAGCAGGGATACTCACTGAACGGAGACGCCATGCTCTCTTCATTGTGGATCTTCTTGGGGCCAAGCCAGATCGCAGAGTCATTTTTACTAAATTGTGTTCTGGCGCGAAGGCCTTTGGAGACCTTGGGAAGAAACAGATGTGTAGAGAAATCATCAAATGTTCTGAGGAGCCACAGCTGCTGTACAGCCCCCATCTGTTCTCCATCATCGTTGTGAATGCTGGTAGATGGAGCAGCGTGGTTGCTCTCCACTGTCACTGATTCTTAGCTCCCCTCTTTGGCCAGGGCTGACCCCCCTTTTATTCT